CTATTTGGTTGGAGGCCATCGCTATTAGGTTGGAGGCCTTTGCTATTAGGTCGGAGGCCATCGCTGTTAGGTTAAATTGCATTCTATGACATGGCTTCTTATTTTTTGTTAAAAAGAATATAGCTAATGTCGAGATCATAAGAGATCACTTGACCGAGGCCAGTTTTTTGTTTCACCCAAGGAGCAATATCTATATAGGTTTCAATCTTGATACACTATGTGAAGGAGAAGAAAAGATTTGCCAAAATGTTCAGCAAGATGCAGGAGGACTGACGATGTGGTTGTAAAACACCAGTTCGTGGTCAAGCTGCTAGGTCTTCATTTTCACAAGCATAGCAGACAGTGATCGACAGCTTTCAATTGTTCTTGTTTGTGCAGGTGATATGGTCCAATAGAAATCATAATATGGCCCTGTGTCCGCAAAACAGAAACTGTACGATGGATTTAAGAAAGTGTGCTTATGCTTTCCTCCTGAAGTGCTGCGTCGTGCAAACTCCCTTGCACACTTTTGCTGCCCCTGCCATCAGTGCTGCTCTGGACCGAACATTTTCAGGTGTTCTTTGGACCTGTGGATTTTGCATATATATATATATATAAACTGTGGAATTCACAATTGGTAGCAACAACTTGCAAACAGCGCACCTTGCGCTAAGCACGCAACCAAGCTTGCAACTCAACTAGCAAACAGCGCACCTCACGCTGAGCAGATCCCCTTCTGTTTTCCGCCGCCTCTGCTTGAACGAATGCCGGTGTCCTCACCAGCGAGAGAATGCACGTCCTCGTGCGGTCGACTTACAAGACCATGCAAGGCCCGCCCACGCCGCCCTACGACCTCGTGCCTAAGGTCTGCGGACATGGATGAAGAACCTTCTGGACCTGGTTGGAAAGGTTCGAAATTCACACTCCCGAAAAATCTAAAAACTCTGTTTTTCTTCTTCAAATGGATCTTCAGCAACATGACCAGTGGATAGCCATTGCGTTCGGGTTCTATTGTCAGCCCTTTGTTTGAGAACCTGAAGTTCATCATGGAGTTGATAGCGTCCCTTTTGAAGGGTATGACGAAGAAAATGGCTTTGCATAACCTTCGTTAATGCATGGGCAAGCTGAGCCCCTGTATGTACCCAACGCAGGGTCACGCCCTCATCCAACATATCCTTGATCGCCCTGGCCTGAAGCTGTGTCCTAAATTCTTGACAATTTGGCTGAGCCGTTCTTGTCACAAGGTCATAGAGCGATTTGCAGTCCGTGACTGCCACTGATTTTGGAAGTTGCTGAGCCAAGTACGTCGTCGAAGACATCGGGGCAGGGCTTTCTTGGAACACCTTCTTTGGTTGTTTCCAATTCAAGTTTGGATTCAGGAGCCGACCCCAGAAAAGACGAATCCATGACATCTGGTCGAGACTCGTTTGGAGAGATGTCGCTTCGGCCGCTAAAGTACTTGTCACTACTTTCTGGATTTTCTTACAACCCCAAGACAGTGGGCTCACGGCACATTGAAAGTTGTCTGAGACGTCTTTGTGGGTGGCCACGATGATTACCCCTGTGTGGCTCTCTGGACTTTTGGCTGAGGCTTTATATCTTTTTGCTTCATGCAACACACGATTTGCGTCATGAAGGGTTTGAACAGTGGCTCTATTTATCTCACTTTGAAGATAGCTCAATCTGCTCGAGAGATCAGGGCGTGTGTTGGTTGCAGCGTATTGGAGACTACCAATTAATGCTCGGAGACTGTGTTTCTCTTCGGAAGTGACAGGTTCCGTCAGGCATGTTCGCCTGTTAGCATTCATATGGATTGGCTCAATTTTTCTGACGTACTTACTTTGAGACATGATGATGCTTTGATCTGGCTGTTGAGAGATGTCGACTCCTGAAGGTGAACTGGCCTGTCTTCTTACTACCGAATGGAAACTTGGCCTCGAGCTTGGAGATCTGCTGATCGAAATATTCATCACCCCCACACAAACCATCGTCGACATGGACTCCTAACACTCCGGATGGCATTGTTTTACCTGATTGGTGCAGAATGTATGCGCATGGGTCGAACGGTGCGGGAACAAAATTCAAATCCTTTAAGGTTCGATCTAGCTCCCTATGCCACAAATACGGGGCATCTATCAAACCGTATGCTGATTTCTCCAATTTGCATACTTCACCTGGTTTCAAGTTCATTGCCCTTCGGAGTTCTTCGACGGGTTCGATTGCCAGGACTCTGTTTTCCTGGGTCTTTCCTTGCAGAAAGGCAGCGCGAATGTCGAAACTCTTGAGAGTCCATCCCATTGAGCTGATAAGCTGTACTAGTAGCATTTTGGATTGTTTGCCTAGTGTCGGGCTATCACGGGGTATTGAGTCGATTTGGGGGTCCTCAAATCCAAGTACTACTAAACGAGCCTTCGCCTTGTGGGTCTTCGGTCCAGGTCGACATGGGATGTCGCTGTGGGTTGACTGCTCGTTCTCCAAGGGTTTCCAAATGCATATCCATCGGCATCGCAGGATTTGCTCCTGATTCAGCTGATTGCGAAAGATCTTGCTCACCGTTCCGGTGTCTAACCAATTTTGAATTTCTTTTGCCTTTGCTGAATCGAAGAGGGCTTGTTCGGACTTCGACAACTGATGGAGCTTCACCTCTGATCGATCACGTTTTGCGTTTGATGCTTCCAAGAGGAAATCTTCGTTTGAGTGTTCATTTTTCCAACTCTTGATGTCATCTTCAGAGATGATTGTTTCCCATTTCCATCCGTCCTTCGGATTCTCATGGCATGTTTCTTCCTCTACGCACAAAGGGTGGTCACAGAGGAGCTCATCATCCGTGTCATCCGGTATCGGAGTTTCTGCAGGTGCAATGCTTTGACGGTCATTTGACACGTTTCCACTAGACCTGGACTCGATGTCTTCAATGGGTTCTTGGTCTGGTTGGTCTTCTGAGCTGCTTGCAGGTCTAGGTTCGGGGTTACGGGGCTCCAATTCGACTTCGATTGGATTTTGTTAGACTTCCGGGATTTCAGTTGGAGTTGTTTCAGGTTGTCTATTTCTCACTTCACTTTCTTCCTCTATCCCTGGGATAGCATTGACTCTTCGTGGAATATTCAACTGTTCTAAAGCACTTACTTCTCGAACATGTTCGGGTGACACTTTGACCAGGTTTCCCATGTGATTGCGCCATATGCAGTGCTGCCCTTCTTGTTGGATGATCCGGGCTGGTCCAATCCAGCCCCGGGTGGATGGCGTTTGCCTCCAGATCATCACCCATGTGCCGGCTGCATACGCGCCGCGGTTCGGGCGCGTCCGATGCAGCATTGCTCTCCGAAGGTTGGCATCGTTGTCAGCCAGGTGGAATGCTTTTCATGCGGCTTCTCGCTTGGCTAGTTTTTCTCGAAATTGGATGCCTTGTTGGGTATCTTCCTCTGCTAATAGGTGGGATGGGAGACTATAGTCAGATGTGATTGATGCAGGGACCCTGAGTGTCTTTCCAAATGTTAAAACATCTGGGGAATATCCTGACTTAAGACTCAATGCGTTCTTTGATGATGTGCACTGTGCTAACGCAACTTGAAGGTCCTGATACGACGCAATGGGGAAATGCTTGCTCATACTTACGAAGCATGGTTTGTAGGATGTGTCCATGGCGTTCAACCTTTCCTATTTGCCAATGTGCTCCGGGAGCTGCCACGGGGATCGAACACTGAACTGAGTCAACATGCTGGAAAATTCACGAGACGTGAATTCTGTTCCGGCATCGGTGTGGAGTTCGATTGGAGCACCAGCCCACTGGGACCAGCCTGTCACGAGTGCTTCAATCGCTGCCTGACTGTTTTGGCCTGATGATGCACATGCAACGTGATAATTTGTTCCATAGTCTATCATGTGGTAGAAATGGTACGTTGTTCCATTGAGGGCGGTGTACATGACTCCATCAATTCCTATTCGATCATTGAAATCGAGGTCATCCTTGATGGTCGCAGTTCTCTGTACTTTGGGTTGTTGTTCATTGGTACATGTTGAACACTTCATGTCGAGGATTCCCTGACTGAGGCATGGGGCATGTCCCTGTTCTCGGAGGACCTGGCTTAGACGGGCGTGACTAGGATGTCCCAGATTTTGGTGGAGTTTGATCAGGAATGTCTTCTGTTCTGGGGACAACTGCATGAATTTGGGACCATGTTTTTCACTTCTGAGGTCGGCTTGTTGGCTTGTGATTCGTGGAACACTGCATGGATCACTGTCCTGGTGACGGTCCTCCATGTTCTCCGGCACATCATGCGTCTGTGCTTGACTCGCAGGCTCACTGGAGGTCTCTGGCAACGCTGGCGGACAGCCAGAAGTCCTTTCATTGTCTGGCAGCGAACATTGTCACATTGATTCTGGCGGCGTGCGATGGTCTGATCAGTTAATTGATGCATCAATCCTACTTACAATAATTGCTTTTCGGAACGGTGCTTCGTTTTTCACAAGATCTTGGGGGGGGACCAACTGTTCTATCAGAGCCCTTGCATGCAATGACTCGTTTGATGTGTTTTTCCGGAAAACCTTCTTGGAGTTGTTGGATGATGACTTGATCAGTAAGGTCGGTCTTTCCTACTCTCCGCAACATGGGTTTTATCCTCTCGAGTCTATAGTCTCTAGTTTTTGTTGTCGAGACTGGTTCGCAGGAATGTCTTGCTCGGCGGTCTTTCCGTCGATGCGACGGCGCTTCACAGTTCCATTCAGAACCTCCAATGGAGTTGGAGGCTGTCGGGCATTCGAAGAATTGTGAGGAGGATTGATGCAAGGTCGCTTCGACATCTCCTCTGGCCTCTCTGGATGATCTCTAGCATGGCTCACTAGGATTGGAACATATTCCTTTTGCTTTACCTTCGTGATCAACTTCGCCACTCTTCGAGCAAACTTCCTAGGATATTTTTCGGCGAACGAACTGCATGAGATCCCCCCTTCGTGGGTTTTGAT